CTGACCTAATATACCTTCTGTGAGAGAGCCAGAAATTGCAAGGAACTGAAATATTGAGATGAAGACAGAGAAAAATATAATCTGCTTGAAATTCTGGGCTCATGAAATTGCTATGTTCCCAAGGTGAAAGTTCTTGTCATTGTCCCCCCTCCCACATGTAAACACACCCCAGGATCATGAATGATAGGCTTGAGTCCAATGACTATGGCCTCAGGCCAGCAGGCCAGCCAGGGACCCTTCTCCTCACTTAGCTTCTCTGTCTATATATCTGTTCCTAAGACAAGTGAGCCTGGGTTATAAATGTGGGCTCTGTTTTGTGGCCGTGTTATGTGAGAATTTGCATCTCTTTGTCCACAGAACCATGAAGCCTGTTCACGCTACCCCTAAGCACATGTCCTAGATCAGAGCAGGTTTCCTCTCACATCCCCTGATGAATGACCACGTTTGTGTCTATGCAGATCTCAATCTAAGTATAATGAATTGAATTATCTTCTTTGAGACATTCCATCCTTTGAAATAACCTCCATTTTAAAAAAAAGTATGTCTGCCACTGGTTTGGAATCTGCTTTCTGTTGCTTCTAGTCATGTTATATGTAGGGTGACTGAACACAGCGCAGGTTCATAATGCCTCTGGGTTCTTGGCTTATGATGGGATATCACACATAAAGATAAATTTAGAGGCCGGCCTAGAGCTCTTGCTTTAATGTCTTTTGTCTGAGACAATGTTATAGTCATATAAGCTTTATAAAAAACAATTCTTTTGAATGTGCCCTCAGCATCTTCCAGACTACCCAGCATGACCCGCTTCTCTCTTACCTCCCTCACTCTAGCACATCTTTTCCTCTTTCCTGCGCTTTCTTCAAATGCTATTTCCTGTCCTGTTTATCACCCTACAACTACACAGTCAGCAATGGGGCTTCCTGGCACCTAAAAGCAGACTGAAACATCCATGTGCTCTGCCTTCTTTGCAGCACAGAATCAGATTACATTGCAGTCACTACCAGAAAGGGGAAAGTGTTTCACCCTGCAGATTCCTAGGTCTCCAGGCATGTAGCAATCTAGATTGGTTATGCTTTAAAAATCCCATCATGGTGGCGCACCTTTAATCCCAGCACTTGTGAGGCAGAGGCAGGTGGATCTTTGTGAGTTCGAGGCCAGCCTTGTCTACATAGTGAGTTCCATGACAGCTGGGGCTACAAGGAAACCCTGTCTCAAAAAGACAAAAAAAAAAAAAAAATCCCATCAACTTTCACAGTAGTTAGGGACGTCTTAATCCCCTTCACTGAGCCTCTTAACAGTTTTAGCAAAGAAAACTGTTTTGCACATGTTTTGTTCTAGGGTCATGAAAGTCAGTGGAAAACATAGTATCAAAGGCTCTGACTTCAGCTTTGCTGTGAGCCCTAGCTCCTGAAGTACATGTACCTTCTGAGATACATCTCAGGGAGATCGCCTCATGACCTGTGGACATTGCTGTGATTCACATTGCTGGGACAAATACCTGAGATGATAAGTGTATGAGGTGAAAAGTTCTTGTGGTTCACAGACTGAGGAGTTCTAGTTCACGGTGGCTTATTGCTTTGCTTTGGGCCTGTAGCAAGGCAGCACATTATCTGGGGGCATAATGCAGAGCAAAACCACTCATTTCCTAGGCAGGGCATGAAGAGAAGGAGGGGGGCATGGTCCCATTCTCACCTTAAAATCACATCTTATCAAGCTAAAGACCTCCCATTACAGGGACTGGAGAGATGGCCGGGCAGTTAAGAGCACTGACTGCTCTTGTAGAGAACCAGGGTTCAATTCCCAGTACCCACATGGTGACTAAAAACTGTCCATAACTCCAGTTCCAGGGGATCTAACACCCACTTCTGACTTCCGTGGGCATTGTACGACATGGGTGCACTTACATATATGCAGGCAATATCCTCCTACACATTAAATGAAAATAATAAAATATTTTTTAAGACCTCCTATTACATCCCACTTCTTAAGATACTACCTCTCAGTAGTGCCAAGTTGTTGACTATCCTTGACACATGAGCTTTTAGGAAACATTTAAGGTCCAAAGGATAGCATAGATCCAGATGGTCATCAGCATGTGAATGAGAAGGAGCCATGGAACAGAGGTACCTGATGCCTTCACTGCTAGGGAGTCATCTCAGACCAACAGGCCCCCAGGCACCTAAGCACTTATTAGCAATGCAGAATCCTGGAACCCTCTCCAAACCTAATCCCTATCTATGCTTTTTTTTTTTTTAATTCCTGGGGATTTATATGCAAATTAAAATCTGGGAAGCACTTACTCTATAGTACAAACTTGACAAAATTCGTTTTCTCACTTAATGAGGCAGTATTATCATAACGATCCCCGTTTACATGAATTGTACCTTTTCTTTTTTCTTTTGTTCTGTCATATATCCATCCCATAAAAACAGCATTGCAGATAGCGAAGATTCTAGAGGGCGCACGTGCTGATTAGCACATTCCAGAGGGTGCCCATGCTGATTAGCAACTCCCCACGGAGCACCCCAGGTCTGTCTTGCTCACGTGGAGGCATCTGGTCTTCAAAAAATTTAAGTCATCCCTTTGGTCTGATGGTCAGCACTCCTGAGTCAACTGGCCTTCTTAAGAGAGCCTTTCCAGGGGCTTTTCTAGCACCTGTACAGTGTGCACCATACAACCTGATCTGGGGCTTTCTTATTTTCCCCACAGAAAACATTAACCCTGCCTGAGGTTCTTGCCAGGCCCACACCAGGCAGCTCATTTGTTTTGTTAAATGCAGTGTGGTTTAATTACATGGTGGCAAATATTCTCTAGTATATTTTTTAATTATAATGGAGTCTTACCAAAGGAAGACAGACTTCCTATCCTGCCATATTGATTCATTGCAGAAAATAATGAGGTGAGACTGGGGACTAAAAATTCAACTGGGTGTATTTTATTTCATTGTTGCTTTACTCTTTGAAATGCTTGAATGCGTCACTCTGTCAGGTTTCAAGAGGGAAAGTATTTTTATCTTTGTTAAACTTTCAAACTAAGTAAAATCAGAATTCTGTAGGTCTAAAAAAAGAAGAAAAGGGAAGTAAAGGTATTTACATTCCTTTAATGATCCATGAGGAGGTGGTGTAACCCAGTCTGGACAGCTGGAGGCTGTGGCGTAGAGAACTTTGAGCAACAGCACTACCCTAGCATTCCAGCAAAAGGGCTCTTGTCTGAGAGGCCCCATATGTTGGATTATTTTTGTCAGCTCTTCTCAGGTCCCCTCTGGTGCTTGAGGACCAGCCGGGCAACAATGCCATTGAGGAGAGGTATATAGATGACAGGCTGGGAGTATGACTGTCATCCCAGACATTCAGGGGCCTCTTTCTTCCCCGTGTACCTGTTGACCATTCTTTACATGGATTCAGCTGGATTCATCATCTACTTTCTCATACCTATGTGGCTGCTCGGGGCCTATTGGCCAATGTTGTATTCCTTCCTTGGAATCACAAGGTATAGAGCTACCAGGGAGAGTGCTGACTGAGAGCAATTCAAATTGTTCCCATGGGTAAGGGCACATTGAAATGTATTTTCCTAGGACATCATACCTTCCAGTGATGGTTTGAGTAACCAGCATCTAAAGCCTGATAGTGTGTCCTGGGGGTAGAGGGATACAGCTAGGGAAAACAGCAAGGACAAGCAAGTAAGTGTTCAGGGAAAATAGGCAACAAAACTGGTAGGAGCTTCCCAAAGTCTAGACCGGGATAGTCAGGGTGTGAGACATCTGAATCCCAACCTCCCCTGACCAGTGCTCCCCCTAAACACTCCCCCTTCCTGTTCCATAGCCAGGATGGACTCAGATTTAACTGAGCACATGTACATAAGCTCAGAATATACCTCCATGGAGTGGTGGGGAAAGCTATGAGCTTTGATTGTGCTGAGTTAGTTTTTGTTATCTGGCCTGAAACTCACGAACACAGAAGAAATCAGGCAGCAGCAGGTCTACGAGGTCTTCAGGCTAGATGGGTTTTCTGGTGAACAGAATGTTTCAACAGAACTTAGACTATTTGTCTTTGAAGACAAAGGATTTGTTCTCTGAACCAGGATGAGGAGTAAGATGAAGGGGCCAGGTTGATGCAAAAGCATGCAATAATGGGTGAAACCGAAGCAAAACCTCCAACCCACAAACATTTTGGATGTAGAATCCCTAATTTCTTAAGTGCTTAAAAACTAGAGCTTCAGGATATCCCACAAAATCAGGTTTGGAATCTTTAAGGTATTCTAATAACCACAGATTCATTGTTTATCATGTTTATTTTGGTAATTGTTTTTAAGCATCTTCTGCATCCACACAAAAGAATTCATTCATTAATTCCCTAGTCTACTCCACTATAATTTAATTTTTAAAAATTTCAATTAACAACTAAAATTGTATTTATCATGTACTGCACAATATTTTAAAATATATGTACATTGTAGAATGGCTTAATTAAGTTGGTTATTCTCTATCTCATGTTGAAACCGAACCAACTACTTTGAATTTATTTGTATTAAAATGCGAAATGCATCACATTTATCTTTCTACAAGTAGTTGGTTAACTGGTACTTTATAAATAAAGGCATTTCTATATAATGAGAAATAAAGATGTTGTTTATAATGACATAACCTAAGTTACTTCCCGTGTTTTATTAAATTATTGATCATCAAACTTCTCTTTAAACTAGCAAGCTTTATTAATGCACTGGTATATTTATAATTTGCTTTATCAATTAACTCTGAAAATAATCATTGAAGAAAGCTATTGATAGTCCTTTATTATGAAATGCCCTACAAAATTAAAGTGACTTGCCTGAAAATATACTGATCTAAGACTCTAGAAGAGAATGTGCCTGTCTCTCTGATGGGCGTTCAAACCCCATTCTATGGCTTTTCCTCTTCCTTCTACACCCTCTAGATGGGACGATGGTTCAGTCCCTGGTTTAATGGTTTCCCTATTGTTTTCTGCCTATCTCTCTCTTCCCAGAAGGCCAGGGATTTGTGAGTGAGGATGAATACCTGGAAATCTCTGACATCAAACGTGACCAGTCCGGGGAGTATGAATGCAGCGCCTTGAATGATGTTGCTGCCCCCGATGTGCGAAAAGTAAAAATCACTGTAAACTGTGAGTTGATCCCCTGTCAGGGTGTTCCAGAGGGGGAGGGACAGGGATTACGCCAACAAGTCAGAAGTGACAGTGCTCTTCTCTCAAAGCCCTATACTCCAGGGCCTGTCAGTAGGAAAGGCAGTGATCTGTCAGACTGCCCTGCTTGGCATCACCCACATTGCCATTTTTCTGTCCTTGGAGTCTTTCTGGGACTGTTAGAGTTTTCAGTGAGTGGGAACAGTGGCTAACTTAGAATTGATTTGAAGACCTGAAGAAGATGCTGAGGTAAATGTAATATTTTCACACTGAAGTGTAGTATCTTCCTAAAATAGGTGGTCATTTTACTGAGAAAAGGGATAGCCCAAGTGGATGGACATGACTTTCTTCTCTTCCCTGGAATCACTCTATGCTGTTTTTCTTTTTGCTTCCTTGCTTTTGTTTCCTACAGACCCTCCTTATATTTCAAAAGCCAAGAATACTGGTGTTTCAGTTGGTCAGAAGGGCATCTTGAGCTGTGAGGCCTCTGCCGTTCCCATGGCTGAATTCCAGTGGTTCAAGGAAGATACCAGGTACCTCAAAGGAACTAGGGCAGCTCTGAAGCAGAGCTGATTGATCATTTATCCCCTGGAAGGAGGGTAATAAACTCCAGAGAAAAGATAAGGCAAAGTAAAAACAGGTTATGGTCTCCTTTGTAACAGAGTCTCCTTTCAGAATCAGAAGTGGAAAGAGGATGGAAGCTGGACATCAACAAAATGAATTGACCTTGTTTTAGAATCTCAGATTAGCTGCAGACGTGGTGGCTGCGGGTGAATTTTGTCTTCTGAGCCTTACTGCCCTTCTTCCTCTTGATGGTGGATGTGGTACTTAAGACTTGAGTTGAGGGACTGGGTTAGTCAGAGGAAAAGACGTTGATGGGGACCTCATTACAGTTACTCTAGGGCTCACGTTTTCATCTTCTCAGTGCACGCTGCTTCACTCCACTGGTGGGTCCAGACCAGTTGCTTTCTCCTGTTGCAGGTTAGCCACTGGCCTGGATGGAGTGAGGATTGAGAACAAAGGCCGCATATCTACTCTGACTTTCTTCAATGTCTCAGAGAAGGATTATGGGAACTATACCTGCGTGGCCACAAACAAGCTTGGGAACACCAATGCCAGCATCACATTGTATGGTGAGTGCAGGAAACCTGGATGCTGGAGGGCTGAGCCATGTAAGGGAGCTTCAGGGGCTGGGGAGGTTACAAGGCATGAACAGGGACTGCATCCATCCATAAAACTCAACCCACCACCCCTTAGCTAAGATTTCCCTACCGTTTCCTCACATACCTTGAAGTGATGTTTTCAAGGCAATTCATTCAGTGAAAGGCAAGGCGTTGCCCCTTTTGAAGGTAGTAAACGAAATTCTGAATCAGCTGGAATGATGGATTCCACTAGGAAGACAGAACCACAGGACAGTTTGATGGTAGTGTCCTGTGAAGACAAATGAGAAGATGAAAGTTTGTGGGGACAAATGAGAAGCAATTATAAGATGTGATAGCTTCCACAGTAAGAGTCCATGCTCCCAGAGATATAGTCCTAGTGTTAAGCCAAATCAACTCCTGCCATCATAATTCTCATGTGGATCACCATGCCATGTTCTCATTCATGGGGATGAATGGAGCAGTGGCCTGAGTCCTCATCAGAGGGCCCTTCTATTCCCAGCTGCAGCACAGACCCTTCACTGATGGTCTGTTCCTCCCCTGTGAATGGAGAGGCTTCAGAAGCCATGAATGGTTGCTGTGGAAACCATTCTCCCCCACTCCATCCTCCCACACTGTTGTGTCCATATTCTTGTGTGCAACATCTCATGCCATGGGCCAGAGTCACCTTATTGTGATATTTCATATATGTATGTATGTGTTTATTTGTTGAGGTTTGATGAGAGGGAAGCATCTGATGAGCAGGATGAAGAGGGATCCATTTTCCTCATGTGCACCTCTGATGTGAACAAACTTTCAGCATTGACATGTACTGAACTTTGTCCACCAACCATCTGAAATGTGTGATCTATGTCTTTTGTTTTCTCTCTGCATTGTGTGTGCATTGTGCTGTGTGTGTCTTAGAAATAAGCCCCTCATCAGCAGTGGCAGGTGGGTATAGCATGTTCCTTCCTTCCTCTGCCTGCTTGAATGCCTATGCTCTTGTATTTTAAGCCTACCTCAAAGATAGGCTTGCTTGCTCCCCTCCCCAGTGTGCTCGCCATAGTGGATAGATTTCAAGGGGTGTGGCTTGCGCAGTTTAGATAACACGCATGCAGATATGATGGCTTTCACATACAGACGTAGAAAATTACATTACGGATCTCAGGGGAAGTGAATTTACTCCTACTCTATCCCCGCTCCATGATAAATTTCTAGTTGGTCTCTTCTGCAAGGAAGAGTATTCTGCTATTTTTGCACAGAGTAGCATTGACAGCAAGCTGGCCCAGAGACCAAATGGATTAGATAAGTGTCTCTGGTGACAAGTTCCCCTCCTATGAATGTTTTATTCTTTTAGCCCAAGGCAAAGAAGGATATTTAGTTCTGAAATTTTTATTTTAAAATGGAAGTTCTTGGAGTCATTATTCATGATGGTGATATCTGCTATTTACCAAACATTTCCTGGTTTCTTGGCCTCATGTCAGTCAGTGCTAAGTAGGACAAGATATTAACTCCATCTTACAGATAAGTAAAAGGAGAACCAAAGAGCATCGGTAATAGCGAAATACATGCAGGAAAAGGACATAGGCTAAATGAGACCCAGATTCAAATGCTTCATCACATAGCAGAGTATGTACCCAGAGAATAATTAAAAGAGACAGAGTTTCCTGAATATACACACGCTCTCTAACGTTTGGATGTCACTGCAGCTGGTGCTCAGTTCGTATCCAGAGAAGAAAGACACTCATCCCCACTCTCTAAGACAAAACCATCTCATGAAAAGTGATAACGTCTGTATTTCCACTGTCACTTTGCACAGCTGTGGATCCACAGTCATCACAGACAGAGCTTGAAAACCTTGAAGACCATGGCTGCTCACCCTTTACTCCTGATAATACTGGAGGAAAAGGGTGAGATTAGGGTGCCATTCTGACCGAGACCTTCATTCACTCTTTGGTTAATAAGGTTGTAGGAGCAGAGAACAGGCTTCATAGAAGGACCTAGTAATGACAGCCAGGTGACGTGAGGACATGAGTTCTTGTCTTTCTCTACTGTCAATGGGAAGTGATGTCTCATAGGTAGAAAAGGGCAGTGTATACTAAGGCTGTATTCATTTTCTCAGTCTGCCATAACAAAGCACAATAGGATGAGTGTTTCTACACTTCTGGAGGCCAGAAGTCTAAGATACCGTTTCCAGACAATTCAGGCTTGGTGTAGGCCTACTTCCTAGCTTTCTGGTTTAAAAACAGCTCTCTGTCCTCACATGGCCTTTCTTCTGTGCTCTAAGGGGAAAGGAGAAAGGAGAGATGAGGGGGAAGAACAGAGGAAGTGCTAGGTAGCTGACTTGTGTCTCTTTTCTTAGGAGAACACACTAATTTTATTGGGTCAGCATCCTTTCTTTATGGCTTCATTTAACCTTCAGTACCTCCTCATAGAGTCCTTTTCCAAATATAATCACACTGAGGGTAAAGGGTTCAACAAAAGGATCTTGGATGGGCACTGTTCAGTTCATAGCACGGACATAGGTTCACAGCACATTTAAGCCACATGTCAATCACTTAAACTTGCTGATTCTTCTTTTCCATGTATAGGCTGTTGAGATTTTAGTTCATGTATCAAAAGACTAATGAGAGGATTAGATAAGGCTTCCTATAAATGGGTTTAGATGTGTGACGCTGAGAAATCCCAAAGACTGAAGTTCTCAGGTTTACTGAACTGACACGGGAATAATATTTTCCTGGCCTGCTGACAAGAGTGTCATTATAAATGGTCAGTAGGGCAAAGTTCATCACAACTAACTGAAACTGGGGTATACAGGGTAGGTGCTATGATTCTTCCCTGTATCTAACAACACTTGGACTGGTCTATCTGATCACTGCTTCCATTCAAATATATGCCAGAACTGTCATCCAACAGGTCATATGCTTCTGCCCCCTTGGAAGTCTCCTCTGCTCTTTAATGGCAGCACTCTTCAAGCCCCATTCTCACTTCACCTGATTGGGGGCCACTTACTTTCCAGCATCTGGAGCTGGATCAGATGCAGCTGGACCTTGCAGATGCAGATCAATCTCATTACATACCCATCATATCTTGATTTGCCCAGTGCACTCACTTGGTATACTGGCTAGTGTTCAATCTGGAAGCACACACTCAGGAGCTACCTCAAGCACATACACATACAAGACATTGTTCTAAGAGATAAGCATAAGCATATAGAAGTGACATAAAAGGTAGATGCCTGGATTCTATAGACTTTGCCCTCAACTTGCAATTTTTCTTTCAAGTTGTTCTGTTTAATAAAAATCCTTTTTTTTTATCCCTTTTAGCTTGCAAGCTTCATGAACTCGAGTCTGACTATATCCATATAACCTGACATGAAGATACACACATAGTAGCTGATCAAGAAAATTTTATGAATGGATGTATATATGAATATATGCAGAGATCAAAAGGTTGTGTGGGTAGTGCCGAAAGTCCAGCCAGCTGTCAGGCACCGAGAAGTGACAGGCTGAGTAAGGAGTACAACTCCTCAAAGGGTCCTAGAGTTGACCATGTGCTGCTTCTTGGTTGGGTGGCTTGGAAAAGTCCTCCCAGTGGACTTGGGGTTTTTCAGTAGTGGTAGCCCTTTGGGTAAGATGTCCTTTTATTGTTCCCACATAGCCTCACTCTGATGCTAGGGATTAATGGCTCTAGATTCAGCCATAGAGCAGAGTGAGAGAATTCAGTTGGCCCACCCTTCCTACTGACCACAATGTTCTTCCTATCCTCAATGGCCCATAATTATACCTAATTACAGCCATAAACCATTAGTATATAGTACGGGGCCACTAGACTGACTCTTTTTTTCATGGTTTGTATCAGTTACTGAGCCTATGAAGTAAGTTCTAAATTTCTCCTGATTTTACATGGTGAAAACTGAGAGCTAAGGCAGATAATTCAGACCACACTAGCTTATAAGCATCTGAATTAGACTTTAGCCAGACACCCCAAATCCAGTGCCTGAGTGGCATTTTAATCCAAACTTTAACATTTGGTAACCACTGAGGATGCTGTGGATGATTGCTATGGAATCATATATCAACAAGTTGTATACTTGGGCCCATCTCCTTCATCGGATTCTCTCTTCTCGAACCATCTACCCCAGAATCCAATCTGTTAAAGGACAACATTTACACTTATAATCTGTATTCATACTTTCCAAACACACATGCCATTCCTAGGTGCATGCTTGTTTACCCTCACAAACTGTACAGCATATGAGGGCCTCCTTTGACTCTGCCTCTGTAGTCCCAACACATCCTGCTTCTCTCTCTCACACACACTGTTCTTCTATCTCTACAAAGATATGTAAAAAACAAAGAAGGATGAGATAATGGCAAGTTCAGAAGAACACACACACACACACACACACACACTCACACATACACACTCACAAAATACAAGATTAAGGTGACAATGTGCTGGCCGGAATTGACCAGGAAAAGTAAGAAACAGCATAGTCAGTGGTTGATCATCCTAGTCAGTTGTTGGTGACAGCATGCAGTGCTTCTTTCTTATCTTGCCAGTCACAGAGACATAAAGACAGAGCCTCAGGCAGAGGCCAACTCAGATAGCACAATACATCACATACTTTTCTTGGGCCCAGGCACCTAAAGGAACTAGAACCAGGATGGACAAAACAGACCAGCATCAACAGCTAGGAGAGCCAAACTCCAGACTGACAAAAATAAGTTGTGTTGCAGTATGCTTTTCGGATGTCAGGAAAACACAAGAATAGAGCAAGATGGGCTCTCATCCTGCTTTCAGTTCTTTATATCTCTGTTCTGAATATGAGAAATAATGGGTATACAAGACCTTATCCAAAGGACAGTCTCCAAAGACATGACCTATAACCTTGGAGATCGTGGCCCATACCCAGAGCAATAGAAAAGCAGCTCACTCCATGAATTCCTTAGTCTTACTGAATGGATGCAGTCATCTGAAGGCCCACCTGC